TGGTATTGATTTTGTGGTTTAATTTTGTTAGCATTTTCTTTTCTTCTCTTCTCGTGAAGCTCTTAATTATCATATCTGATCTCCATCATTTACTTAAGATTTTTTGCAGTTATTGAACTATAAAGACATTGATGTTGAAACTTGAAGATCCTACACCATGTTGTTTTGGATACAAATGAACAATGACGATTTTTGTTTATGGCAATCCAGGTTCTAGTGACACCACTCTGCACATACTTTTAAACAGTATACAGGTTGGCTTCTCGCATGTCCACATGACTTTATCTTTTGAATATCTTTGCGTAGGTATTCTAATTTCATTTTTAAATATTAACAATGTATTTTTTTAATAATTATGGTAGTTGTTTGAAAGTTTTCATTGGTAGTAAACAACTTGATTTAATTATTGTATCCTAGATGATCTTTAATTTACAAGTTATGAAAAAAGGACACTAGTTTTTAGACCCTAATTGACTTGAGCACAGAAATGAATGTGCCTTGGTGGCATCTTGCACCATGACACCCTATGAATTCAAAGCAAGGTGATGTACCTAAGTTGTTCGACAAAAGACCAGGCGCTATGCCCAAGCTCTCATTGTTATTTCCCTCTGTTCAGAAGATGTTCGCTCAAGTCGCTTTGAAAAAGCTCCATAAAGCATATATAAGGGATGAAGATAGTTGAGTCGCACTAAGGGTCCAGCTAGCCTTGTGCCCACAAGCCTTGGTATCGTTGGGCAAAATATAAGTGTGTCTATATTTCTTTGGTGTATTAGTGTATGAGTGTGTTTCTTTTGTGTATTGGTGTGTGTGAACATAGCATATGTTTTGGGTTTTTTTTTTTTTTGGTATATTAGTGTGAATATGTTAGTTTGTGTTTCTATAATAGTCTGTTTTATTGTGTTTATTTGTTTGGTGTAGGGGTATGTGTGTTTTTTTGGTATATTAGTGTGTGTTAACGCGATGTGTGGGTGTTTATGTACATGCTGATTTGCGGGTGTGTGTGTATGTTTTGGTTTATTAATGTGTGTTTTTTAGTGTATTAGTGTGTGAATATTTGTATTTGTATTTGTGTAATAGTGTGTGTGTTATTATATATTTGTGTCCGTATTTTTGATGGATTAGCTTGTGTTAAGGCCACTTATGATAGAATGTATGCATTTTTGTGAATGTGTATGTGTTTAGGTGTATCAATGTGTATATATTTTTTGGTGTATTAGTGGGCGTATGTGTGTATATGTTGTGTTTGTGTTTGTGTGTTTTGGTATGTTGGTGTTTATGTTTTTGATGCAATTATGTGTGTTTTTTGGTGTATTAGTATTAACAAACACAATGTGTGTGGGTGTGTATGTATTGGTATGTGTATGTGTGTTTGTTTCAGTGATGGTGTGAGCACACTTGTGATTGTGTAATAGTGTATGTGTGTGCGTGCTTTTGGTGTGTTAGTATGCATGTTTTTTGGTGTGTTAGTGTGTTTATGTTTTTGGTGTGTTAGTCTGTGTGTGTTTTTTGATTTAAGGGTTGTATGTGTCTGCGCGTTTTTATGTGCACAATGTGTATTTTTTTATGTATACGTTTTTATATATATTATGTGTAGTTGTTGGCGTGTATGTTTTTATGATGGTGTATCTGTATCTTTCTTATCTCGAGTGTTTTTGTGTTTTGCTGTGTATGATGTGTGTGTGGTTATTACTCTATCTGTTTATGTTATCGAAGTGTTTGTGTGTCAATATGTATGTGTATCTTTGTTACTTTTTGGATTGACCCCATTTTTTATGACCCCATTGTAACAATTTATTGAGTTTTGTCGAAAGTCCACACAAGGGCTTATCAAGCCTTTTACTTGAATGTAATTGGTTGATTTTCGAAAGCAGGTATGGTTTTACCATGTGAGTTCTTTTGGATCATATGTTAGGCTGTTTCGTCAAAAAGTGAGTTTATTATGTTTGGTCAAAGATTTATGGAAAACTCACCGATCCCAAGAAAAAGGTAGAGTAAGTACCACAAGATGCTAGCTAAGGTTATTAAGGAGCGTTTATGTATTGATTCTTAAAACATACATAATATGTATGCACTTACTTACAAATTTGGTACCTATTCTTCAGGCGAGCTTGTTACAGATGAACTTTATTTTGCAAAAAAACCTTTTTCCTTCTCTTTTCTTTTTTGTGTTGGACATCAATGTTCTTAAGTATCGTCCTCAATAATCAACTTAAATCATTTGCTTAAGATTTTTTACAATTATCAAACTATGCTTTGGATAGGTATGACTGAAATGAATTGTTGTCAATGGTAATGTAAGTTCCAGTGACACAACTTTAGAGTTTTGGAAAGAAAGGACATGGTGTGTCGGTGTTTTTTAATGCATTATGTGTATTTTTTAGTGCATTAATGTTTGTTAACACGTGTGTGGGTGTGTATGCATTAATGTGTGTGTGTGTTTGTTCCGGTGATGGTGTGTGCACACGTGTGTTTGTGTAATAGTGTGTGCATGCTTTTGGTGTGGTAGTGTGCATGTTTTTCGGTATATTAGTGTGTTTAACACAATGTGTGTTTTGGTGTATTAGTGTATTTGTTTATGTTTTGATGTATTAGTTTGTGTATTTTTACATGTTCTAGTTTGTATGTTCTTGTGTAATACTATTGTGTATATGTGTTTTTGTGTAAGAGTTGCTTCAACTACTTTGCTCCAATTACTTGCCTACAGTATTTTATTTCTGAAATTTTTTTGCTATGACTCAACGTATAATATTGCCTATCGAGTGTAGCAGCAATTCAAGCAGTTATAGATTTATTTTCAGGCGAGATTGGGACAGGTATAGATTTTTGCTTGAGGATTGTATTCTATTGATTTTGAGGTATGATTCTTTTAATGTTCTTTTATCTTCACTTCTTGTTTTCTCTTGAACCCTAAAGTTCTTAATCATCATCCCCGATATGCACCATTTGCTTAAGATTTCTTGCAATTATCAGACTATAAAGAAACTGATCTTAAAACTTTTTACACCATGTTGCTCTGGATATAAATGAATGATGACGATTTTTGTCAATGATAATCTGGATTCAAGTGACACAACTGTAAACATACTTTTGAAGGGCATGCTGGTTGGCTTCTTGCATGACTACATGACTATTCCTTTTGGTTATTTTTGAGTAGATGTTCAGTGTTTGAACGTTTTACTCTATCAGTGTGTACGTCTGTCTTTTGTGGCATATTAGTCTTTGTTTATATTTTTTGGTATATTAATCTATAAGTATTTTTTTTTTTTTGTATTAGTATATGTGTGTGTATTAGCCAGTGTTTATTTTGTTATTCATTTGTGCTTTTTTTTTTTTAAAAAAAAAAGGAGTATGACAACCTCCTATAGTTTATTTTGAGGGAAGTCACGTCCGCATTGACCGGAAGTCCTGAGGTTAAATGTCAGTGTGCATACTGCCCACGTTAGGGGATTGCCTTAGTTTTTTTGACTTTCATCCAAAATGTGGGGTAGTGTGTGTATTCGTAGTTCTACTTTGTCATACAAGTATTTCTATGGATTTATTAGGCACCAAATACTTGTTCTGAATACTTGTTGATGCTCTGGTATATTCTTCATATTTTGTTGGGTCATGTGTTTACTATTATGGTGGCTCGAAATGGGAAATTTGTAATGACTAAAGTAAGTATAGTATTTATCCTTGCAATGATACTTGAAACAGTCTAGTAAGACCCTTTTGACCAAAAAAAAAGAAATTCTTCATTGTGTGTGTTCCGTCTACCCTCTTTAAGAAGTGTGTGTTCCATCTACCCTCTTTGAGAAGTGTGTGTGGGCGGGTTTTTCTTTTCATTTATTCATTTATTGTGGCGGAAGAAGATGGGGAGGTTGGGGTAAGCTATATATACATGTTTGCCATGTTAATATGTGTGTTTTCGTCTACCCTCTTTGAGAAGTGTGTGTGTGTGTGTGTGGGTTTTCTTTTCATTTATTCATTCTTTGTGGCGGAAGAGGAGGGGGAGGTTGGGGTAAGCTATATATACATATTTGACATAACATGCACATCTTTGTAGGATCTTAAGTCGCAGAAGGAGCAAAATCTCCTAGATACACTACCAGAAATCTGAGTTTTGCCGGTTTTTATTACCCGGCGTTTGTAATTTCCATTGTAGTTACAGGAAAAGATGCAGCAGACTTCTGGTGGTGATGTAAGTCATCCCTCTCCCTCTCCCTCTCCCTCACACACACACGGAGTCACGGAGGGTGTTTGGGTAAGTTATGGTGCATGTGAGTAATAATGCTTTTCCCTCCCTTTGCTATGTTATATCAGCTGCGAATCACCCTTGCTACTCTTGCCAGTAAGGGATTTCCCGTCAATGCATTGTGACAGTTTATTAATGTTATTCCTGGTGAAGATAATACGAAGAGTGAGCAGATAACCACGAGTGAGGACAGGCATACATTGTTGAATTAGTTATGGAGGTAATGGTAAACCTTCATACTAAGATCTTTTAACGAACTACAGAAGACGACACTGCTGCTGGGTATGCTATTTCCTTCCCCGGTCGGCTTGCAAGTTTGCTCACCCGGATGATCATTATGCAGCAAACTGCAGTTTTGACCCGTTTGAGAATTTCCTGCTGTCAATAGTTTTTGCCGTTAGATGTAGAATGGTTACTTTGTGCGACCATCTTTGTGTCACTAGTGATGGGAAACACATCATTTTTATGAGGTTACAATACAAGTTCTTTCACTACTGGATCGTCTTACTTGGTAATGAGATATAATATACCGAATAGAAGCTGGCATTTGAAAATAGTTGATTTTTAGGAGGCACGAGTTCTATTGGATTTTTATGGTGATGGCACTACACCCTATATTCACGGTGGATTGAACTTTTGCGATGTGTACCCTCCCCATTTTAATCTGCATTATCAATCTGTTGATGTTGGAAGGACCAAGTAGTCCCTCAGTGTGGCCTGCAAACAACTATCAGTTGTAACAGATAGAGATCTCCACGTAGAAAAGACATACTTGAATCAAATTGACATCGAGTGCAATTAACTTTACTGTTCATAGCATAAAAAGTAAGTGAGTAAGGCAATCCTAGACTACTCGAAACTAGAGCAGGAAAATAGAAACAGAGGCACCTAATAACATTAACTTGTGTTCTTGGTTTTGGTAATCTGAGAGCCAGAAATCTTGCAATTAAATATAAGCTGCTTAAATACAGAGACACGACAAGGCAATCAATATTGTTGCGTATCATATGGCTACTGTGAGGTGGTAGTAACACCAGCTACACTTGAGACCATGGAGTCTACTCCGCAAATATTGTGACCCCTACAGATTTTGTAGTATCCTTTCTCTCCCCAATGTTTTCCCCAAGAGTTCTTTATGATCCAGTATGGCTTATCCTTCATTCTAATGGGAGAAAAGCCAGCTGAACCGTACCCCACCAATAACACACCATGGTCCAACCTCTTCGAGCAAATGAGCGGGCATGAAACTCCCCCAATATATGTCTGCATGAAAACTGCATTGATTGCCACTGCATCCAGAAGAAAGAAAAATATTATCATGACTACTACAATCCAAAACCAAAATTCGCATTCTAGTTTAGTATAAAGGGAAAAAAATAGTGATATTTTCACACTGCAAAGTCTACAAAACCTATTCTGCACGAGTTATATTACGCAACAGATCTGCTATAATGCTTTTGACGAAACGCTTGGTTACCCCCCAAGAAACTCATCCCGTTAAAATAACAAAAGCAAATGGCCAAAGGGGGTAGGGGGAAGAGAACAGCTTACCTGCAAGAGGACCATTTTTAACGAGATTTGCAGCAATCTGGTCTTCATCGAGGGAGACAACGCTGAAGTTAGCCACTTTTGCCGCGACCTTGGTCTTGTCAAATTTGCAGGTGCCACGATCAGTACCAGTGTAAGGATAATCTTCTTCTCGCATAAGTCCACCAGCTTTGAGAGTGTACTCAAAGGCACTATTCATTAGCCCACCATTGCACCCAGAGTCACATGAATCTGGTTCAGCTGGATCACACTGCAGAGCATGTAAGCTATATCAAAATAACGACAGATTTGCAAGAAGTACCGTGTTTCTTCTCATATGCCATATATCCAAGGCACAGCGGATGTTATCAAAACAAGTATGAAATTTGTGTATAATTTAATATATCCTCAATAAAACAATGCAAGTGTCATATTGTTGCAACCATCACATATTTTCTTCTCCTTTCCTTGGTGTGCATATGCTTTCTGAACCAGGTCTTACCCTCAACCCAACCAAACCCTCTTTACCACCTGAATCAAGGCGCATAGGCAATGGTCACCACAAATACACTCCCACTTGATGGATGATCAATTATTTGACAGCATAATTTTCTACTCTCGACTCCAGCAACCCCCCCCCCCCCCCCCCTTCTTTCCAAAAAAACAAAAAATAAGGAAAAAAAAAGGCCAAATATAGGATCACAGTCATTAACTCTCTGTTATCTTCTTTAAGAATTTTCTCCAACCCATTAAACTCTAATATAATACTTTTCTTTCTATGCACATCCTCTGGTATCCATAGATGTTCATATGCATTTCAAAGAAGCACTTGATTTCAATGACATATTAAGCAAATGGCAACGCACAACAAGCCGCTGAATCACTCACTCAACCCCGCGAAAATATTCCATGCTTGTAAGGTACCACCTGACATTGTGAGGTGGAACAAAATGTTGCAAGTTCACATATAACATGTTGTACATTGTTAAAAAAATGTACACATAACTTTTTGTACATTTCCTTGTGTCTAACAAAATATGTTGTGTGACAATTTTTTATTGATAATGTACAACATTTTGCACCATAAAAGCACTGAATATTTTCTCCTGGTTATTATGAGTTACCGAAAGCTATGATGATTGAAATCAACTTCTCATCTATCATTTAACTGTGGATTGAGAAAAAGGAAACTGCTAAAATCTTTCCGGAAGAAAAAGGTTGTGCATAGTCAGGCACCTAATACAATTCTATAATGAATTACATTTCGCTCACTCTTAAAACATTACTTGAATCGCAGCCCCAAAAGCACACAACCCAAAGTTAAGAATCAATCACATCCTCGTGTGACAGATCAACATTTCAATAGAGGTGCTCGTGTGGTTATGAAAAGTTATTATCAAAGAATGTTATTTACTGAAAGTACAATATAATCAAAATCACCATATGTTCAAGACACAAACCGGACGAACATATTTGCTATGTAGTCATACAGGATTTAATCAATCTCATTCCATAGACAAACCAATGATACAACAAACGGACACACAAAAATCACCAAAATAACAAATGCTACTCACACAGAAGTCTTTATGAAGGAATAATAGAAAATGGAAGAAATCAAACCTCGTGATCACACTCCACAAGCTGTTGCTCGCTAAGGCTCACAAGATTTCCAGTCGCCAGATAATTAGCACCTTCCAATGCCCCAGTCGCACTAAACGACCAGCACGATCCACACGAGCCCTAATTTACCAACCAACCAACAAATAAAACATATATACACACAATCAAAACCTCAAACCCCTGATCCCAATTAATCACCTATTAAAATTTATTTAGAACAATTACGTGTATCTATATGTATACATATTCATATAGTGAGACCTGATTCTTTACGGGCGTGACGGCACCGTGGTCTCTCCAATCGAAATCTGCAGGAAGATCACTGGTCGGAAGGATCGGAGCTTGGTTGGCATCGGCCGGAAGTTTAAGCTTACGCTTCAAACCGAGGAAGTTCCGGCGAAACTCAGCCGGAGTCAGATCGGAGAACCGAGTCACTCCGTGGACCGCGGAGGGGTCGAGCCTCTGGCGGCGCTTCGCTCGGCGTAGGTTATCCTTGAAGACCATATGTCTGTAATCGTGCTCCTCCTTTGTGGCGTACGTTTTGCCGAACCTCCGCTTGAAGATCGAAAAGTGGTGTTCGGCGTTTAACAAATGATCGTCGTCGACAACCTGACGGATTAGTAAATCGTCGTTGTTGTTTAGGTCGTCGTCGGCGAATACGAACGAAGTCGTGAGGAGGAGAAAGAAAAGGAAGAGGAGAGAGAAACGGAGAGCCATGGTGTTTGAGAGAGTCCTACTCCTTTTCTTCTTCTTGTGAGGAGTTGTTTGTCACTTTAGAGAGAGAGAGCGCGCAATATGGGTCTATCCAGTATCCACCCGTCTCTGATCGGAGAGGTTGTTTTGTTGTGGAATCAAGAAAGAGCCAATGGGGTGTTTACAGGTGGCGAACTTTTTATAGGCTGATGGAAGGTAGTTGCTTGTTGGCTCAAGTTGAGTGGATTCTAATTTATATATTTTTTAAAATTTTATTTTTATTTCTACCCGGTACATTATATTATTTTTTTTCAACGGTTAATGTGTCGGGTCAATTTACGTGTATATTGATTAATTTTTTCTACAGTTTGAGCAAAAATAGATTATCTATATCGAGATTAATGTTTTCATAGAAGATAAATCTCTCATGACTTAATCTCAATAAATTATTAAAATTAAATTTAAAATATTTAAATTTATAATTCATTCTTATTACAACTCGAATTACATCCTTTTTGTTACTACTTGAAATAAATTCGTTGCTAGCTACTATCATGTGAAGGATAATTTTCTATAAAAACAACGAAAACGAAGGACACGAGATTGGTCAGCAAATTACAAAATATTTCTATCTGTTCCACATGTTTTGTCCCTTGAAAATCTTGTTCAAATGGCTCATTTTCCCTTGTCAGACTTTTTTGGGCTTGTTCAAGGCAGGCCCAAGAGATATCGAGGCCTAGGTAAAAAGTTTACTTGGGTCCTCAAAATTTAATAAAATATATATAATATAATATAAAGTTTATTCAAAATTGTTATTTTCTATCAAGTAAAATTTGATGAATTTTATTTTACATGTGTTATAAATCATATTGCATACGAAATACATATAATTGAAACAGGACCACTCTTCTTTTTATGATTTTTAATAATCTATTTTTTTATTACTTTTTTTATAACTAAATTCATATTTTTTATTTGGCGTAGTCAAGATCAAATGAGTAACAAATAAATATATTACGTTATAAAGTTCGAGATTGAAAATTCTTCAATATGTGTTGTTTATCAATATTGGAGTCTATAGTTAATTTATTAATGGGTGGCTCCGTGATTTTTTATGGGCACAGACATCCCATATAATTCAGTCTTATGATTTTTCATTATTTGCATATGACCTTTTTTTCTTAAGTGCTCGTTATGTTTGGGTTTTTAGTTTAATGTTTCTATTCAGTACCCCAACTCCAAACTTATCGTGTACTTCTTGTGTTTATAACATGATCTCTATCTAAGTGTTGACATCAAAAGACGCTTCCTTACAGTAGAGCACGCCAGTTTCTTTGATCCTCCGGTCGTGTGTTTTAGGCCGAATCGAAAAGACCAATTCTCAAAGTTTTATAAATATGGTTTGATGTTACGGTGCTATGACCTCGTCTGCTAGAAGTCTCTTCGATTCCTTTTGAAGAGAAAATGTTCATTAGCACAAGGCTATCTTCTAGTGTAGGATTGATGCCCAATTAGAGATTTGACTCATTCCTAACTAGAAAAGTGTGGAAGAACTCAAACTTTTGTGATTGATTAGGTTAACAGATGAAGCCTAAGTAACATTATTCGTACATATACAAAGAGGGAGGCAATGTGACAATTATACATTTCTATATATATATTTTTATTTGTGTAAATATGATATAATTTTCGTTTTGAGAAAGATAGAGTTGTTGGCATACTCATTACTTAAGATATACAAATACTTCCACAATTATGACAATCACTTATAATTGAAATGGGCCTTCATTTTAACTACTTGGGGGCCTTCTTAACTGAGGGCCCTAGTTGGCAGCCTAACCTGCCTTGTCTATGGGCCGCCCTGGGCTAAGTGTTGTATGTCTGTGTACTCATGCACAGTTAACACGCATAGGCCCAATGCTTTTGATAAGTTTAACCAAGCTTACACTTGGAGTTTATTGCCTATCCAGACTTCCGAGTGAGGAGAAGTCGGACTTCTAGAAGACCTTTCGCTGTTGCTCTTAGTCTTTGTTGATTTCTTCTCAACCGAGATTTCGGATACGGCAAGTCGACCTTGTGGATAGACACATCTGGAGTTCCGAATAAGCTTCCTGATGTACTTGGCTTCCTTACACCTTCCTCTTCAACCAAAACTCCAAATAGGTCATCTAGACTTCTGAAATACAATTCTGCTTAGTCTTCGGGTACAATCGTTTCGCGTCTTTTTCTTCATTTCTTATACAACTATGACACATGCTTAATCTTGATCCTACACTCATCCATACAGTACTAATGCAAGTATTTTTACACATGAAAATATTTGTGAACATCAACATTTCATAGTACTAATGCAAGTACTAATTATGTCATAGTTTTTGTCCCCTTGAAATTAAAGTCTCAACTTTGGTCTTTTATTAGATTTTTCGTTAGTTTTCCTGTCGGTATTAATGAGTTAATTTTGACAAAAAAAATAAAGGAAACTAACATAAATGTCAAATTGCAACACTTTTGATACATTAAGGGTACAATGTGAAAATTTTAATTTTTGAGAGCGCAAAATAAAAATTTTAAAATCTTTTAGAATGCAAAGTGCAAAAATCCCAAAAAAAATTATTCGGAAGAGATTTCATTGATAACTACAAGGGTAAAATACACTTTTAATCCCCAAAATATGTATGTAATATCTATTTGGCCCCCAATTTTTTAATTTTGTTTATTTGGTACTTAAGGTTCTTAATTTGTATTCAGGTGGTCCAATCCCAAACATCTATAAAAAAATCATGACGGTTCAGTTCACGTGTTAATCACTTGATTTTTAATTTTTAATTTTTATTTGGTGTCTAAAATTCTTTATTTTTGTTTACTTAGTTTCACGCAATTGACGCGTGACCAGAGACGTTAACAATTTTTTTACAAACATTTCAAATTAGACTAGATAGATATAAATTAAAAAATTTAAAGATCAAATAGATACAATTAAAAAACTAAGGATCAAATACGCAGTCGGCACATTCTTTGAAGACTAAATGAGTACACATCCTATTCAGGAAAATGGGACCACTAAGAGTGGGTTTGGGGGTGCCTCTCTGGTCCAGCCGTGCATGCAATTCTGGTCCAATGCGGGTGCTTGGTTTCACATTGAGAGGGTCTTCACTTCACGAGATACTTGGCAAGAAAAGCTTACCACGGCCCCACTCAATCAAACAAGTGGAAGTCGCGTGTAAGCAACGCACACCGTCCAAAATACATCAATTTCAATCTTGCATGTACACCCCTCAGCGGAATGAATTTGCACGTACACCCCTCAATTTGGATGAAATTGGATTGATTCGAATAAAAACCATTCCCAATTTTAATCAACAGCTCATGTCTAACCCTGCTAAAAATTCCATATGCAATCTAAATATCTGACTTGATCCAAATAGTTCAATTAGACTTGATTTCTATAAATTACAAAATAAAATTCGTATTGAATTGAGTATTAATAAGTTTAAATTTTGACCCACATCTGAGTGTGAATAATTAGTCAAGAAAATAATTCATATTCTACAAATGAGATTTGGATCCGATTTCATCTTTAAAATTGTATCAAATTCGAAGTGCTGTATTTTTGTGGCCAAAGAGAGTGAACTTACACTCTTTTTTGGTTATAGAGTATTTAGATTTGTAATGACTATTTTTTTTTAAAATTTTTCATTATAATTCAAATTAATTTAAAATTATGTCCCTTAAAAAATATAGGTACTTGTCCCTTAACAGACGTGAGAAATATCTAACCTACACTTTGTGAGACAGAGAGAGAGAGGAGAGAAGTCAAATTATAGGAAAAAAAGGGGCTCTTGATTCAACAATGATACCAGCGGCTTTCCTCTTTTTCGGCCCATCCCTAATCTCATTTTTCCCCATTCGATGGTCAAACCTACTTTATCCAACTTTCACATTAGCGTCGTATCTATAACGTGAGATTTTATTTTATTATTTAATAATATATTATATTTATAAATCTAATTAAACTGAATTATAAATTAAATTATCATTTAAAAAGATCACTTAATATCATTTTTAATATTTTAAGATTAACCCTGTTTATTTTAATTTTTTTCTCAATATATTATCATAGTATTTTCTATTTATGTACTGGACTAATAAAGATACTTGCGTAAAGTCCCCTTTCCATGCAAGGAGATAAATTTATGAATGTCAGTCCTAAGGGACTACGCTTCGTGCCCAACACTAGTTCCGTGTGGCTTTGAAAATGGTGCCAACGATGCCGAGCCGATTCCTTTAGAGGCCTATTAAACAAATAAATAAAATGACTCAAGAATAGAAGGATATGATATTAATATTAATATAAATGTGTTGACTAAAGAAAAAACTAGTTTTTCAATTGCTTAGTTAATATCATCACATTACTTAGGATAAGTCTACAGTACTAAAAAAAAATTGGGGCTTCTAAAGCTCATTCTTTGAAAATCCATATTTCATTAATATCATTGTAATACAATAGATCAAGTGATCAAAAAAAATAATAGAGGAGAAATTTAAAGTTTATCACGGACAATAAAGAAAAAATTCTAAATACTCAATTACAATGCTTTATTAGCTTGTGATTATTCAAAGATTCGATTCGATTTAAATCACCATATTGACACATGATAGAGGGGTTAGTGGGTATAGAAAGTGTTAAATCCATAACGGGTATTTAGATTTTACCATGTCATTGAAACTACATATTTTTTTCTTAAATTTAATTAGTTTAAAATTTCTATAAAAAAATTCATATTGTATGATTTAGTTGAAACCAATGCCATTAAAACAGCTTGAACCTCTCCCACAACACTCCACAGTCCACTCTGGCAGTTTTTTTTTTTTTTTTTTGGGAATGGGAAATCCCATGTCCTGTCTTTATTGACTAGAGGTGTGTTTATGTTAGAGATGTGTTTATGTTGCTTGGGCTCGTAACTTTGAATACAACCAAAGACAAAATCTGGGATATGAATCTATCCCTCAACTCATACACTATTTTAAATCAGAACTTGCGTTTCGCCGGGACTCAGGACCCACACTATAGACTTGAATACGGTTCGTCTAATCAATTGAAGTCTTGTCCTATCAAGCAGTAGGCGTGTCGGGTGGAACGAGTTTGTGTCAAAAAATCTTTCATTCATAGTCTATTCGTTTATATAAACGAGTCCAACTATCACATTCATACACAAATCATTTATTAGAAAAGTTATCCGATACAACCTGTGTGTCACCCATTAAATAATAGAATAAGTTAGAGTATTTTGAGTACACACAGAAAATCATCAACTTGCAACACATTGCACATGCTTGACTTGTTTATTATAACAATAAATCATGACTGAACAAAAAAATAAAGACAAAAAATAAACATTAAATAACTACTAAATTTGAATGAGTATAAGAAATAAGAGGTGTGAGATGAGACAGAGATTGAGAGATCTAATTTTTTTAAAAAAATTTATAGTACAATTATTAACAGATTAAACTGGTTAAAACAAGTTTATGGGTTAAACACAAAATTGATTCATTTATTTCACGGGTTTGTCGAATTAATCCGTTAAAATTATATCTAAACTTGCTGAATCCGTGTTAAATTCGTGTTAATTTCATGAGATATGTCTAAAATTGCCAAACCTACTAAATAGTTACGCTTTTACACAAATCGATTTCGAATTCCTGACCTTCCACGGAAAAAGCCACTAGCTCTGGCCAACCGAGCTACACCGGTTGGTTTCCAGACTGGCAGTCTTGTTTTCGCCCAACTTGTCTGGTTATCCCCTCGTCATGGTCAACAGATGCCATTTCGTCGATGTTTCTCAACATCTCTCCTCGTGACCCCCAAGTCAACTCAACCTGTCTCTACCATTTCATCTCCAAAGTGATATAATGCTCACCAAATTGGCGGTATATCTTTATCCCCATTATTGTTTTCGATTTTTTTTTATTTTTTTACACAGGGTTGTGATTAGAACCTTTAATATTTATAAATGAAAGTTTCTATTTAAACTTTTTTTTTTTTTTTAGTATTACGATCACTGAGTTAATTTATATAGATTTCGATTAATTTTATCTCTAATCTAATTAAAAACATATTATTCATATTAAGACCAAGGAATTATGAGGGGTCGCTTAATGTAAGAGAATTGTTAAATTTTAAATTCAAGATAAATGAGTTAACAATTCATACTTAAATTACGACTACATATTAAGTGTAATAGTTATAGCATAATAACGTTATAACTCAATAATTCTCTAAAATAGTTCTCGCTTTTTAAAAATGACCGCCCTCAGTGAAAAATAACAACCTCTCACATATTTAAAAAGTGAGACTCACTTCCCAAACTACCAGAATTTATTTCAAGATTGACAGAAAAAAAAAAAAAAAGAGGCAATCCTTCTTAAATTGGGAAAACCAAGAACGTTGACGTCCAACATTCATATCCGTATAAACTCTTGAATATTCGCCGTAAATTTAGCTACATATAACACATTGAACTTGAAACTTTGAGCTTTAGAGACTGCAACTATAATACAGGGGTGAGGAATATAAAGATTGCTCTTGTAAGAGGCGTGTTAAGGTGGGGGCGGGTGCGGGTGCGGTGCGCAGGATAAGATGGGTGTGCCAAGATTGTTGTGTAGGTGCTCCTCTGTCCTTGCTGTTGTGGGATTGGTGTTGAATGTAGCAGGGTTGTGTAATGGAGGGATTACGAGCAGTTTTGTGAGAAAGGTTGAGAAAACTATTGATATGCCTCTTGATAGTGATGTCTTCAGCGTCCCTCCTGGCTATAATGCGCCTCAACAGGTCTGTACTTTGTTTCCTCTCTTCCTCTGTTTACTGATTTTTCCGATGATTAAACTGTTGAATGAGCTATCCCAACCACTGGGCTAGCCATCTTGTTCCTTTGGGATATGCTCTAGAAGCCTGGAGTGGACACCCTTAGTAAAAAAAAAAAGTTATGATTTTTTAATTCATTATCTTTTTTTATTTTATTGAAGGGGTTTCATGAAATTACCTTAAGAAAATCACTGTTCCTTTCGTCAAGTTAGTTTTGGGAGCTATAGTTCAGAGAGAAACTTTTGTTTAGGACTCCGGTGTTTTGCCAAAACCTGGCATTTGGTAATTTTAATTGATTACAGACTCCTCTAATTATAAAAATCCATAAATTTGATTTGTCTTATCAAAACATTTTGTGGGTATTTTCTATATTTAATATTAAATTTTGTAAGTGTTTTCTATATTTAATATTATGTTGTTAAGGTGTTGAAATTGTGGGTGATTTGTTTTAAGGTTCATATAACACAAGGAGATCATGTGGGGGAGGCAATGATTGTGTCATGGGTTACTGTGGATGAACCTGGTTCAGACACAGTCCTATACTGGAGTGAGAACAGCAAGCAAAAGAAAGAGGCCAAGGGAAGGGTTACTACTTATAAATTCTACAATTATACTTCTGGTTACATTCATCATTGCACCATTTGGAAATTGAAGGTAAATTTTTAGAATTACTGGGACTACTCTTGTTTCTTTAGCACTGCTTAATGCTTACACACTCGCGCAGGCAGGCACCCCTAATTCCCCTGTTTCTGCCCTCTTTTATACCTGTTGTTTTTAGTTTCTGTATCTAAATTAGTAAGGAACTAGGAAGCTTATGCACAAAAATGATGACTGTGGTCCCCGATTTAAAAGCATTTAATTCTATTATTTGTGGCAGTTCAACACTAAATACTACTACGAGGTTGGGAATGGACACACAATGCGAACTTTCTGGTTCACAACTCCTCCTGAAGTTGGCCCTGATGTGCCATATACTTTTGGTCTCATAGGTAAACTGTTTTGAAACCAATAGAGGATGTCTAAGGACTTGCTTACAAATTCATTTTGCTTTGAAACTGTGGGTACCCTAGTGAATTGCCTTCCATCTTGTTAGGAATTAGAGGGTTTCCATTCTTTGTAAGGCTTTATCAAATAACGTGGAATTGAATTGATATGTATGGCACCATGATTAGTGCCATGGACACTGTTCAATGAATAACCAAATAATAAAATGTCGTTGAAGTATAAAAACTTAAGTTACACCTTCTCTAACATCTTATGTTTTTAGATAAGATGGTGGTTTAATAGATATAATTGACTATGGTCTACAAGCCAGCTACATGACTTGATTCGAGTAATGAGTATTTCGGACAAACTACTTGTTGTGCTGGGCAACTTATCAATGCTTCTTCAAGGCTGGATTTTTCTAGCTTAATTGAAAGATGCAATATAAAAATTGCACATGTTTTAATCCATTACATCAAATTCTAGGCCAGTTCAAGTGTCATGTTTGAATATATCTCTTACTCACGGTATTGAGCATTTAACTGCAGGTGATCTTGGTCAAAGTTTTGATTCAAACATAACGCTTAACCATTACGAATTCAATCCAACAGAAGGAAAAACAGTCTTGTTTGTTGGGGACCTCTCTTATGCAGATAACTACCCCAATCACGACAACGTTAGATGGGATACTTGGGGAAGGTTTACTGAAAGAAGTGCCGCTTATCAACCTTGGATATGGACTGCTGGAAATCATGAGATTGATTTCGCTCCTGAAATTGTAAGCATCCTGCAAAGGTTTACTCCTTTATTGGACAAGTTCTGTTTCTCTTACGTGATGAGTAGACCTCAAGTTTTGGTTTATCTATAATATAAAATAGGGCAGACTTCAATAAACCCATTCGATGGTCTCAAAATAGACTCATCCAACGGCTATTAACATCTCTCTCAAAACTATTTACATTATACTGTGCCTTTAGGCACGGGTTACGTCTAGTATTTTCATATTAGGTGAATTCCTGTTCATTTAGGAATTCTTGGATGTCTTATCAGTGCAATCTCTCAAATGCCTTCGCAGATTTGAAGTTGTCTCACCTTTGAAAATGGCTGGTTTGAAACAATACTATGTTGCATCAACGATAACCCCTTCTGCTAACTCTAGGAAATCCTTTTTCCTAACCTTGTTCTTCATATGATTATGCTTCTTGTTGTTGCTGCAAACACTATCATATCTCCTGATCATGAAATCCACCACCCTCTTCCTTGCAAAGTTGCAAATTTGGGTAGTATATAAAGTCAACAATTTGGAAAGGATTTCAGTTCTCGTGGAGTGAAATATATATTGTTTCTTTCATCTTGTTCCATAAAGAGGGGTTTTATTTTATTTTCATGTTATATGCATGTCTATGAAGCCATAAATTATTTCTGGAGAAAAATGTTTGTTGTAACAGAAGCTTGTTGATTTGTTCCAGGGCGAAACTAAACCCTTCAAGCCTTATAGTCATCGGTATCAGGTCCCTTATAAGGCATCAAATAGCACTGCCCCCTTTTGGTATTCAATCAAGCGAGCTTCAGCATACATCATTGTCTTGTCTTCATATTCAGCATATGGTAAGGACATAAATACATTTCAAATTTCAGTATTCTAATTCATTTAACAAGAAATGATTCCATAACACCTGCATATGGCGGTTTGAGCGTCAATTGAAAATGTGGCACATCACCAAATATCCTACTGTTACGATGATTTAGTCACAAATCATAATGAATCAGCCAGCAATACATTTTGGAATCAATGCATTTTTTTTTTTGTTCTTTACAAAATTCGTTGGAACTGTGTTCTGTTTTCGAGTAACAACAAATTATGTGCCTAGTGAACAGGCAAAAAGTAAAAGATGAGAAACTTGCATGATTCCACCATAATAATTACCATTTAATTGATAGCTTTGCTATTTGCATATGCTCTATTTTCCTGTATTATAGTGGCTACAAGTTCTCATCCATCCACTGGTGGCATCATCACGGGAAATTTTTACATTCTACTCACCATAACCGATTTAGACATATAATGATTTTGAACGTCAACCTTCCTTTTTCAGGCAAGTACACTCCTCAGTACAAATGGCTTGAGGCGGAGCTACCAAAAGTCAATAGGAGTGAGACGCCGTGGTTGATTGTTCTTATGCATTCCCCATGGTATAATAGCTACAACTACCATTATATGGAAGGAGAAACCATGAGAGTCATGTATGAGCCATGGTTTGTGCGGTACAAAGTCGATGTTGTGTTTGCTGGTCATGTTCACGCCTATGAACGATCAGTAAGTGCTCATCTTTAATACTTCCCCTAAATTTTTTTTTTTGGGTTCTCTAAACACTTCTTCACAACAAATTCTATAAACTTCAGCTTCAGCATCTGTTTCAATCCCATCTAAATTCGCAACCAAAATGCATAATTTTTTTTCAGAGGAATCCAAAATGAACATCTATATTGTTGATATCACAATCAAAAGAAAATCTTGAATGCTCCAGACTTCCTGGTGTAATCGAAAACAATAGCATTCTCTTTGTTTTTGTTCATTCTGGTTTTACTTAACAAGTAATGTTGCACATGACAGGAACGAGTATCAAACATTGCTTACAATGTAATGAACGGCATCTGCAGCCCTGTTAGTGACCAATCTGCCCCTGTATACATAACCATTGGTGATGGAGGAAACCTTGAGGGCTTGGCAACCAAGTAAATGACTACGAAAAATAGAATTGCTCTTCTATATGATTTAATAATAGCCTCCAATTTATTGAGAACTATACTAATATGGTGTTCGTCTGCTTCTGATATGTTGCAGCATGACAGAGCCACAACCGAAGTACTCAGCTTTTCGCGAGGCCAGTTTTGGTCATGCCATTTTTGATATCAAGAATCGAACCCATGCTTACTATGGTTGGCACCGAAATCAGGATGGATATGCTGTGGAAGCTGATTCGTTGTGGTTTTTCAATCGATTTTGGCATCCAGTTGATGATTCTACAAGTGCCCAATCATGAACACAAAAAAATATTTCTTTTTGCCAAGCAGTATTATAATGAATACCACAATTTGAAGTCAATAAAAGTCTTGAAATTCCTATTCCTTCAAGCCTTTATTGTTTTGCTTTGATTTCATTGCATTTCTATGTATCTACTGTTCAGTTTCTATATATTTTGATGGATCACTAAATATTGAAGGACCTCAGGAGTGATTTTGTGATCTTTTGTGAAATTTGTTCGAGTCCAAGATCCAAACGCAACAATTTGATTATAGTTTGAAATTACCAGATTTTAAAACAATGATGCATCAGCTCCTCTTTGGTATCAACTGAATAGTTAAACTTGGCCTCTGGACAGCACACCAGCAGTCTTAGTAGGCCGAAAATTTTCAAAAGGAAGTTAGTGGATATGGGTTTAGCCTTGATCTATTTAATAAGTAGAAATTTAGTAAAAACCTTTTTTAATGAGATTCTGTTAGTTGCAATGGAGATGATGGTAAGAAGGTGGCTTGTTGGATGTTATGCCTTTTTGTCCAGCTAGCTTACATGGGAAATGCTCAACAACAATCCGTTGTTTGGTACCATGGAAAGATAAAAATTAAACCAACTCATCAAAATTAATCCCTTCAAATTAAGAGAAATTGGTAAGTGCACTCCTTTAGAAGACTTACAATTGCAAGAAAATTCAAAATGTTTAGGTGGCAACACCAAATTTCCAACATTTTTTCCTAGTCTCAACATATATAATGAATCATAGTCATTAAATTGATAGTGAGTGCCAATTAATAGTGAAATCTACAGTAAATCTAATGAAAAAAATAATAAGGTCATCAAATAAGATCTATATAACATAGCCCTTTTGGGTTCGTTTGTTTAGTGGGAGAATGATAGAAAATGCAAGAAAGATAAATTTTTTATTTTCATATGTTTGGTTAGCATGAAAAGGAAAATGATCAAAAAATAATTTTCTTTCATGTTTGAATTTTCTCACAAATAACCAACTTTTTTTCTTGTAAAAAATACAAGAAAATGCAAGAAAATTGTGATCTATAACTAACTTCTTATTTTATACTTATTTTTTTCTAAAAAAAATATTTTGTTAGTCATTAATTTTAAAAAAATTTGGTATAAATTTAATTAATCATATAATTTGCCTTAAAGACATTTGTGTTGGTGATTGTTCTACAATTAGGTTTCGAGCCACCTTTTAAAAAAATTTTAACTTTCAATTATAATTATATAAATTTTTTCCTTTTTTGACTAATTTAATATAATTAAGGGTAATTTAGACAATTATAATTTTTTTTTTTAACTTTCCTTTTTTCAAACAATAAAATAAATTTTTTTTTACACTTTCCTGTAAATTTCCATTCTAACCAAATACATGTATAAAAATATATTTCTATCATTTTCGTTTTTTCGCTTCACTTTTTATCATTTTCACTTTTCATTATTTTTTTTTTCCTAATCAACCAAAGCCTTGAAGTATAAATCCAAAATGATGTGAAAACTCCCCAACCCCCAAAAGGCCCAAAATATTTAATTGGGTATTTGAATTTTATCACATTATTTAAATTAATCAAACTGTATGAACAGGATTTAGTTGAAAACAATGGCGTTAAACAGCTTGAAACTCCATCACAAAAATCCAGGGCGCCCAAACTTGTCGGCTTATCCTCTTACTGGTCATCAAAGATGATGCCATTTCGTCCATATTTCTCAACCTCTCTCCTCGTTGACCCCCAAGTCAACTCAACTTGACTATATTATTCTATCCCAAATCAACTCCATTCAATTTGACGCTCAACTCAACTTGTCGATTTATCTTTATCCCCATAATTATTTTTTTTTTTTTTAGGGGTGAGATTGGACTTGAATTGTTTATTCATAAATTATTTATGATCTAATCTAATAAAATTATGAAATTTCGAAATTAAAATATCTGAATCGACATTCCGAACCACCCCCAAGTCACTCTCCGAATTTATTTCAAGATTGACAAAAAAGGCCAATCCTTCTTAAACTGTGAAAAATCCAAGAAGGTTGACGTTGAACATTCATATTCATAGACTGTTGAATGTTCGCCTTAAATTTAACTGCATATGACACATTGAACTTCATGCATTGAGCTTTAGAGACTGCAACTATAATACTGGAGTGAGGAATATAAAGATTACACTTGAAGGAGAAGGGAGGGTGTGCGTAGGATAAAGGGTGTGTTAAGGGGGTGTGCGCTGGATAATATGGGTGTGCCAAGAATGTTGTGTTGGTGCTCCTCTGTCCTTGCTGTAGTGGGATTGGTGTTGAATGTAGCAGTGTTGTGTAATGGAGGGGTTACGAGTAGTTTTGTCAGGAAAGTTGAGAAAACTAACGATATGCCTCTTGATAGTGATGTCTTCAGTGTCCCTCCTGGCTATAATGCGCCTCAACAGGTCTCTACTTTGTTTCCTTTCTTTTCTGATTTTTCCGATGATCAAAGCTGTTGAATGAGCTAATTGTGATTTTTTAATTCAATATATTTGCATTTTATTGTAGGGGTTTCATGAAATTGCCTTAAGAAAATCACTGTTCCCTTCATCAAGTTAGTTTTGGGAGCTATATTTCATAGTTAAACTGTTGTTTAGGACTCGTGTTTTGCAAAATCTGGCATTTGGTACTTTTAGTTCATTACAGGACTCCTGTAATTATAAATAAATCCATAAATTTTGATTTGTCTTATCAAAACATTTGGTGGGTATTTTCTATATTTAATATTAAATTTTGTAAGTATTTCCTATATTTAATACTAAGTTGTTAATGTGTTGAAATTGTGGGTGATTTTTTTTCAGGTTCATATAACACAAGGAGATCATGTAGGGGAGGCAGTGATTGTGTCATGGGTTACTGTAGATGAACCTGGTTCAGATACAGTCCTATACTGGAGTGAGAACAGCAAGCAAAAGAAAGAGGCCAAGGGAAGGGTTACTACTTATAAATTCTACAATTATACTTCTGGTTACATTCATCATTGCACCATTAGGAAATTGAAGGTAAATTTTTTAGAATTACTGGGACTATTCTTGTTTCTTTACCATTGCTTAATGTTTAAACACGTGCGCAGGTAGGCACCCCTAATTCCCCTGTTTCTGCCCTCTTTTATACCTGTTGTTTTTAGTTTCTGTATCTAAATTAGTAAGGAACTAGGAAGCTTATGCACAAAAATGATGACTGTGGTTCCCGTTTTAAAATCATTTAATTCTATTATTTGTGGCAGTTCAACACTAAATACTACTACGAGGTTGGGATTGGACACACAACGCGAACTTTCTGGTTCACAACTCCTCCTGAAGTTGGCCCTGATGTGCCATATACTTTTGGTCTCATAGGTAAACTGTTTTGAAACCAATAGAGGGTGTCTAAGGACTTGCTTACAAATTCATTTTGCTTTGAAACTGTGGGTACCCTAGTGAATTGCTTTCCATCTTGTTAGGAATTAGAGGGTTCCATTCTTTGTAAGGCTTTATCAAATAATATGGAATTGAATTGATATGTATGGCACCATGATTAGTGCCATGGACACTGTTCATTGAATAACCAATTAATAGAATATCGTTTAAGTATAAAAACTTAAATTATACCCTCTCTAACATCTTATTTTTTTAGATAAGATGGTGATTTAATAGATATAATTGACTATGGTCTACGAGCCAGCTACACGAGTTGATTCGAGTAATGAGTATTTCGGATAAACTACTTGTTGTGCCGGGCAATTTATCAATGCTTCTTCAAGGCTGGATTTTTCTAGCTTAATTGAAAGATGCAATATAAAAATTGCACATGTTTTAATCCATTACATCAAATTCTAGGCCAGTTCAAGTGTCATGTTTAAATATATCTCTTACTCACGGTATTGAGCATTTAACTGCAGGTGATCTTGGTCAAAGTTTTGATTCAAACATAACGCTTACCCATTACGAATTCAATCCAACAGAAGGAAAAACAGTCTTGTTTGTTGGGGACCTCTCTTATGCAGATAACTACCCCAATCACGACAACGTTAGATGGGATACTTGGGGAAGGTTTACTGAAAGAAGTGCCGCTTATCAACCTTGGATATGGACTGCTGGAAATCATGAGATTGATTTCGCTCCTGAAATTGTAAGCATCCTGCAAAGGTTTACTCCTTTATTGGACAAGTTCTGTTTCTCTTACGTGATGAGTACACCTCAAGTTTTGGCGTATCTATAATATAAAATAGGGGCGACTTCAATAAGCCTATTCGATGGTCTCAAATAGACTCATCCAACGGCCATCAAAATCTCTCTCAAAACTATTTATATTGTACTGTGCCTTTAGGCACGGGTTACGTCTAGTATTTTCATATTAGGTGAATTCCTGTTCATTTAGGAATTCTTGGATGTCTTATCAGTGCAATCTCTCAAATGCCTTTGCAGATTTGAAGTTGTCTCTCACTTTTGAAAATGGCTGGTTGACACAATACTATGTTGCATCAGCGATAACCCCTTCTGCTAACTCTAGGAAATCCTTTTTCCTAACCTTGTTATTCACATAATTATGCTTCTTGTTGTTGCTGTGAACACTATCATATCATATCTCTTGATCATGAAATCGACCACCCTCTTCCTTGCAAAGTTGCAAATTTGGGTAGTATATATAGTCAACAATTTGGAAAGGATTTTGGTTCTTCTAGAGTGAAATATATATTGTTTCTTTCATTCTGTTCCATAAAAGGGGTTTTATTTTATTTTCGTGTTATATGCATGTCTGTGAAGCCATGAATTATTTCTGGAGAAAAATGTTTGTTGTAACAGAAGCTTGTTGATTTGTTCCAGGGCGAAACTAAACCCTTCAAGCCTTATAGTCATCGGTATCATGTCCCTTATAAGGCGTCAAATAGCACTGCCCCCTTTTGGTATTCAATCAAGCGAGCTTCAGCATACATCATTGTCTTGTCTTCATATTCAGCATATGGTAAGGTCATAAATACATTTCATGTTTCAGTAATCTAATTCATTTAACAAGAAATGATTCCATAACACCTGCATATGGCGGTTTGAGCGTCAATTGAAAATGTGGCACATCACCAAACATACAACTGTTACGATGATTTAGTCACAAATCATAATGAATCAGCCAGCAAGTCTGATTATGATCATTATGAAAATTGTTTGAGAATCAACTGCAATTTCATATTTTGGAATCAAAGCATTTTTTATTTTTTGTTCTTTACAAAATTCATGGGAACTATGTTCTGTTTTCGAGTAACGACAAATTATGTGCCTAGCAAACTGGCAAAAAATAAAAGATGAGAAACTTGCATGATTCCCCCATAATAATTACCGTACAATTGATAGCTTTGTTATTTGCATATGCTCTATTTTCCTGTATTATTGTGGCTACAAGTTCTCATTCATCCACTGGGGGCATCATCATGGGAAATTTTTACATTCTACTCGCCATAACCGATTTAGACATATAATGATTTTGGACGTCAACCTTCCTTTTTCAGGCAATTACACTCCTCAGTACAAATGGCTTGAGGCGGAGCTAAAAAAAGTAAATAGAAGTGAGACGCCATGGTTGGTTGTTCTCATGCATTCCCCATGGTATAATAGCTACAACTACCATTATATGGAAGGAGAAACCATGAGAGTCATGTATGAGCCATGGTTTGTACAGTACAAAGTCGATGTTGTGTTTGCTGGTCATGTTCACGCCTATGAACGATCAGTAAGTGCTCTTCTTTAATACTTCCCCTAAAGTTTTTTTTTGGGTTCTCTAAACTCTTCTTCACAACAAATTCTATAAACTTCAGCTTCAGCATCTGTTTCAATCCCATCTAAATTTGCAATCGTCAACGAAAATTTTGGGAAAAAATGCATAATTTTTTTCTGAGGAATCCAAAATGGGAATCCATATTGTTGATATGACAATCAAAAGAAATTTTGAAACCTACTGTAATCGAAACAAATAGCATTCTCTTTGTTTTTGTTCATTCTGGTTTTACTTGACAAGTAATGTTGCATATGACAGGAACGAGTATCGAACATTGCTTACAATGTAGTAAACGGCATCTGCAGCCCTGTTAGTGACCAATCTGCCCCTGTATACATAACCATTGGTGATGGAGGAAACCTTGAGGGCTTGACAACCAAGTAAAAGCTCTTCTATATAATGTAATAATAGCCTCCAATTTATTGAGAACTATACTAATAGGGTGTTCTTCTGCTCCTGATATGTTGCAGCATGACAGAGCCACAACCGAAGTACTCAGCTTTTCGCGAGGCCAGTTTTGGTCATGCCATTTTTGAAATCAAGAATCGAACCCACGCTTACTACGGTTGGCACCGAAATCAGGATGGATATGCCGTGGAAGCTGATTCGTTGTGGGTTTTCAATCGATTTTGGCATCCAGTTGATGATTCTACAAGTGCCCAATCATGAACACAAAAGCCAAGCAGTCTTATTATGAATACCACTAGTTGAAGTCAATAGAAGTCTTGAAATTCCTATTCCTTCACACCTTCACTGCTTTGCTTTGATTTCATTGCACTTCTATGTATCTTACTGTTCAGTTTTTATATTATCAGGCCCCCCAAATTCTCCTTCTGTTGACCGGAGAGGTGGAAAATGTGCACCACTTACTCTGACATCAAAATATAAGGGTAGCAAGTCTTTACACGACCTACCTCAATACGAAATTTACTCGATCTCAACTGATTCAGGTTGTAAATGGGTTAATCTGAATGAACACAACTAAACAAGACACAAACCTATTGGCTTGATCCGATTTTGGTGGCCTTGACATAGATAACCAAATATTGATGGACCTAAGGTGAGATTTTGCGATTCTTTTGTGAAATTCGTGCTGAGAAACAAGCACAACAATTTGATGATAGCTTAAAATTACCAGATCCAAAGATAATGATGAATTAGTTCTGCACGAGATAATTCTTGCAATAATTCGAGATAGCAACCTTCGGCCTGATGAACCTGAAACAATCACAAGGTCAGAAAAGGGGGCTAGGTGAACACCCGACTTATCTCCTCCGAAACTTAAATTAGTCTAAGATCAAGGGTTTTAGCTCAATGAATAATATTTTTATGGTTCAAGTTTGCATACCTTTGTTCATTTTTCTGAGGAGTATTTATACTTGAATTAACATTGATTGTCCAAGACCTCCAGTCTCATATGGACATTTAATGTCTAACATATCATTCCTCGCGCAATGAATGTTCTCCACTCACGTCTTCTCCTACTCAATGCTAGGATGATGGGACAAGTGCTCGGCACTATGCCGAGCATTTATGCCCTTCCCCGAATATCCACATTCCTCAGATCGACATTTGACACTAGTAACTGAGCATTGAATACTCGAGAAAACAGTTCCTCGAAGAGAGCCGATCGTATCATCTCGGCGTATCAGTCATTAATGTCTAGTCATCATGATAGTAGGCCAAGACTCCCAGAAGGCAGGTGCTCATAGGCGCACATTAATTAGCCTTATCACCGTCACTCATTCCGTCATAAATGAGGGGTCACATCATATTAAATATGATGTCAGCTGTCGTACTCAGCTCCTCCGGGTCACCATACCTCGACTAACTTTCTCGGTGCCTTTTGGATATCACAACGGCTTCATAATCCCCAAGTAGATGGGATACTTGGGGAAGGTTTACTGAAAGAAGTGCTGCTTATCAACCTTGGATATGGACTGCTGGAAATCATGAGATTGATTTCGCTCCTGAAATTGTAAGCATCTTGCAAAGGTTTACTCGTTTATTGGACAAGTTTTGTTTCTCTTACGAGATGAGTACACCTCAAGTTTTGGCGTATCTATAATATAAAATAGGGCAGACTTCAATAAACCCATTTGATGGTCGCAAAATAGACTCATCCAACGGCCATTAACATCTCTCTCAAAACTATTTACATTATACTGTGCCTTTAGGCACGGGTTACGTCTAGTATTTTCATATTAGGTGAATTCCTGTTCATTTAGGAATTCTTGGATGTCTTATCAGTGCAATCTCTCAAATGCCTTCGCAGATTTGAAGTTGTCTCACCTTTGAAAATGGCTGGTTTGAAACAATACTATGTTGCATCAACGATAACCCCTTCTGCTAATCTAGGAAATCCTTTTTCCTAACCTTGTTCTTCATATGATTATGCTTCTTGTTGTTGCTGCAAACACTATCATATCTCCTGATCATGAAATCCACCACCCTCTTCCTTGCAAAGTTGCAAATTTGGGTAGTATATAAAGTCAACAATTTGGAAAGGATTTCAGTTCTCGTGGAGTGAAATATATATTGTTTCCTTCATCTTGTTCCATAAAGAGGGGTTTTATTTTATTTTCATGTTATATGCATGTCTATGAAGCCATAAATTATTTCTGGAGAAAAATGTTTGTTGTAACAGAAGCTTGTTGATTTGTTCCAGGGCGAAACTAAACCTTTCAAGCCTTATAGTCATCGGTATCAGGTCCCTTATAAGGCATCAAATAGCACTGCCCCCTTTTGGTATTCAATCAAGCGAGCTTCAGCATACATCATTGTCTTGTCTTCATATTCAGCATTTGGTAAGGACATAAATACATTTGAAATTTCAGTATTCTAATTCATTTAACAAGAAATGATTCCATAACACCTGCATATGGCGGTTTGAGCGTCAATTGAAAATGTGGCACATCACCAAATATCCTACTGTTACGATGATTTAGTCACAAATCATAATGAATCAGCCAGCAATACATTTTGGAATCAATGCATTTTTTTTTTTTTGTTCTTTACAAAATTCGTGGGAACTGTGTTCTGTTTTCGAGTAACAACAAATTATGTGCCTAGTGAACAGGCAAAAAGTAAAAGATGAGAAACTTGCATGATTCCACCATAATAATTACCATTTAATTGATAGCTTTGCTATTTGCATATGCTCTATTTTCCTGTATTATAGTGGCTACAAGTTCTCATTCATCCACTGGTGGCATCATCACGGGAAATTTTTACATTCTACTCACCATTACCGATTTAGACATATAATGATTTTGAACGTCAACCTTCCCTTTTCAGGCAAGTACACTCCTCAGTACAAATGGCTTGAGGCGGAGCTACCAAAAGTCAATAGGAGTGAGACGCCGTGGTTGATTGTTCTTATGCATTCCCCATGGTATAATAGCTACAACTACCATTATATGGAAGGAGAAACCATGAGAGTCATGTATGAGCCATGGTTTGTGCAGTACAAAGTCGATGTTGTGTTTGCTGGTCATGTTCACGCCTATGAACGATCAGTAAGTGCTCATCTTTAATACTTCCCCTAAATTTTTTTTTTTGGGTTCTCTAAACACTTCTTCACAACAAATTCTATAAACTTCAGCTTCAGCATCTGTTTCAATCCCATCTAAATTCGCAACCAAAATGCATAATTTTTTTTCAGAGGAATCCAAAATGAACATCTATATTGTTGATATCACAATCAAAAGAAAATCTTGAATGCTCCAGACTTCCTGGTGTAATCGAAAACAATAGCATTCTCTTTGTTTTTGTTCATTCTGGTTTTACTTAACAAGTAATGTTGCACATGACAGGAACGAGTATCAAACATTGCTTACAATGTAGTGAACGGCATCTGCAGCCCTGTTAGTGACCAATCTGCCCCTGTATACATAACCATTGGTGATGGAGGAAACCTTGGGGGCTTGGCAACCAAGTAAATGACTACGAAAAATAGAATTGCTCTTCTATATAATGTAATAATAGCCTCCAATTTATTGAGAACTATACTAATAGGGTGTTCTTCTGCTCCTGATATGTTGCAGCATGACAGAGCCACAACCGAAGTACTCAGCTTTTCGCGAGGCCAGTTTTGGTCATGCCATTTTTGATATCAAGAATCGAACCCACGCTTACTACGGTTGGCACCGAAATCAGGATGGATATGCCGTGGAAGCTGATTCGTTGTGGGTTTTCAATCGATTTTGGCATCCAGTTGATGATTCTACAAGTGCCCAACCATGAACACAAAAGCCAAGCAGTCTTATAATGAATACCACAAGTTGAAGTCAATAGAAGTCTTGAAATTCCTATTCCTTCACGCCTTCACTGCTTTGCTTTGATTTCATTGCACTTCTATGTTTCTTACTGTTCAGCTTTTATATTATCAGGCCCCCCCAAATTCTCCTTCTGTTGACCGGAGAGGTGGAAAATGTGCACCACTTACTCTGTCATCAAAATATAGGGGTAGCAAGTCTTTACACGACCTACCTCAATACGAAACTTACTCGATCTCAACTGATTCAGGTTGTAAATGGGTTAATCTGAATGAACACAACTAAACAAGACACAAACCTATTGGCTTGATCCGATTTTGGTGGCCTTGACATAGATAACCAAATATTGATGGACCTAAGGTGAGATTTTGCGATTCTTTTGTGAAATTCGTGTTGAGAAACAAGCACAACAATTTGATGATAGTTTAAAATTACCAGATCCAAAGATAATGATGAATTAGTTCTGCACGAGATAATTCTTGCAATAATTCGAGATAGCAACCTTCGGCCTGATGAACCTGAAACAATTACAAGGTCAGAAAAGGGGGCTAGGTGAACACCCGGCTTATCTCCTCCGAAGCTTAAATTAGTTTAAGATCAATGGTTTTAGCTCAATGAATAATATTTTTATGGTTCAAGTTTGCGTACCTTTGTTCATTTTTCTGAGGAGTATTTATACTTGAATTAACAATGATTGTCCAAGACCTCCAGTCTCATCTGGACATTTAATGTCTAACATGCTATTCCTCACGCAATGAATGTTCTCCACTCACGTCTTCTCCTACTCAATGCTAGGATGATGGGACAAGTGCTCGGCACTATGCCGAGCATTTATGCCCTTCCCCGAGTATCCACATCCCTCAGATCGACATTTGACACCAGTAACTGAGCATTGAATACTCGAGAAAACAGTTCCTCGAAGAGAGCCGATCGTATCATCTCGGCGTATCAGTCATTAATGTTTAGCCATCATGATAGTAGGCCAAGACTCCCAGAAGGCAGGTGCTCACAGGCGCACATTAATTAGCCTTGTCACCATCACTCATTCCGTCATAAATGAGGGGTCACATCATATTAAATATGATGTCAGCTGTCGTACTCGGCTCCTCCGGGTCACCATACCTCGACTAACTTTCTCGGTGCCTTTCGGACATCACAACGGCTTCATAATCCCACGTGTCGATCTGGGGGCTGTAGAGCCACCTAAAGTCCCGCCAACTGCCCCCCAGCCGCCATTCTTTTCGCAGTGTAAGACAAGTGGCGCAAAGAGATTGGAGGCTCAATTATCATGCGTTATTAATGGCGACAATTACTTGCACGTCTGGCGTCACCCTTTTCAAATCCCCTCTTGATGGCTCAATTTTTCGATTCCTGCTCCCTGTAAAGAAGTATAAATAGAAGGTACTCATGCCTTCTCAGAACTTTTACATCCTGAGCCTTTCTTTAGCAATCAGATCCCGAGTGCTTCTCTGTCCTCCTCCGAGTTTTCTTTGACTTCCAAGCTCTCTTTTCAAATACCACCTTCCTATAAGTACTTTCTCTTGAGCATTTTTTTTCATTTCTTCTATATTTCTTCCTTTTAGAACCCATAAATGGCTAGGACCAGTAGAACCAGGGAGGAGACGTCTGTTAAGCCTAGGGCTAATACCAAGTTGAGGAGAACCCAAGTGAATGACGAGAACATCCAAGCATTCAAGGATAGGTACCATATCCATGAGCCTGTCTTTGCCTTCCCTTTTAACCCCACCCACCATAAGAGGGATAAAGGAAGCATAGACATGATGCTTTTCTGGACCAAGGCTATCATGGAAGGAGGGTTGACCTTCCCTCTCCACCCCCTGTTGATGAAAATGTTAATGCAACTGAAGCTCTTTCCCCTTCAATATGGGGTTAATTTTTTTAGAATTGTGATGGGCGTAGTTGCCTTAAATGCTCGACTGGGGATTGACCTAGGAGTAGATGAAATTTTGTTCTGCTATGACTTGAGGCTGGTTGTCGGGGGAAGATATTACCCCCATGCTCAGGATACCTCAATGTATCTGGTAACCCACATGCTCAACTCGGATAAGGGGTATGTAGACAATCTGATCATGCTCGACGAAAGTTGGGAGAAATGACAGGGGCCCAAGTATATCGGATTGTACTGTCCCAAAATACCGAGGGATGAAGGTGTGTTCTCGCCCTCTAGATTTATACTAATTTTACTATCCATAGAACTGACCTCGGCTCTTGTTTTTGCAGAAGGATATCGTCGAGACACTGCTCAACCCTTGAGGTCCCAAGTCTGATTCGCCGATCTCCTAAGGGTCTGGTCCTGGGATCCTGTTGAGCGAGCAGCGCACACCCTTCTCGACTACACACTGACTTACAACCGATTCTCTCAGATCCCCCCTCCCTTCAACCCTTCCCTTTGGGAAGACCGTTCTTTGTTGGAAGAGGAAGAATCTGAGGAAGAGTCCGAACATCCTCTCGAGCCCCCGCTAACTAAAGAAATGTTCAACCCACCGCTGGTCATCGTTGCCACCATGGAGACTGCTGCTGCGGCAAGGAGAGCCAGGCTCGTCGGGCCTTCCAACACGACCCCAATCATTCCCCCGCCTAATTCTCCTTGGCGGCAACCACCCCCGCCACCACCACGTCCCCAACCCACCAGGGACCCGACCGCGTCGACCAGGCAAAGGCCCCCATCTCAACAAGTTTTCGCTCCTGGAGACCGGCCAAGGGACTAACGTGCCCAGGAGGCCGAACAATCTAAGGAACGCCGAGTGAAGCGGTGGCATGATGCCCCAGACCCGTCTGTCTCCGGCAAGTGGATCCCTCGAGCCGAGACCAGGAGTGGCCACTCTATCTTGGAAGTTGACTCCATCCTCTAATCCCCCGAAATGGTGTTTGCTGTTGCGGGGACTTTTCAATTTGAAGCCGATATGGCCGTATACAAAGGCTATTCAGACAATCGACTTCTGATGAGCACTATCCAGAGCAACTTGGTGGTAAGTAATTCCTCGGTCTCGAGTATTCCTTACACAATTTTGGTTGTTTTCTAATAGTGTTCTCCATTTTCAGGCCAGCCAGCCAGCAGGTGGGGGCTATCATTGAACGTTTTTGGAAATACAAACAAAAGGCGAAGAACGTCGAGCGAGCCCTGGCTGCTAAGGATGAGCACATCCTCAAGGTCGAGAGGACCCTCGACGACCAGGCCAAGCACATTGCCGAGCTCATCCGCCAATAAGACGCCCTTAATGTCAATCTAGAAAAGACGAGGGCGGGTGAAGTTGCGATAGTCAAGAAGGTCGAAGAGTATGAGTTGCGTGTCTCCTCCTCCGCGGTCAAGCTGCAAGAGTCCGAGTCCGTCATAAACGATCTTACCTCCAAGGTGGACTCCCTGACAGCAGAGAAGGCGGGAGAGCAGGAAAGGCTGCAGTCAGAGGGTGTAGTTAGCCACCTAGGACCAAATGGTTCCTGCCTTCGAGGAAGCCAAGAAGAAGACTTTCAAAGAAGGTTGGGATGCCGCCCTTTGCGCCTGCCATATGAAGGCTGGCTCGGACTTGTTCGCAATGCATAGCCTTCGAGGAGAGGTTGATGATGAAGCTGTAGAGGAATAAGTCTAAGCTGACCCAAGCGAACAAGTTCAAGCTGAAGGGGCGCCCGGGTCTGAGGGTGGGAATGAACCCATCACATTTAGCGATGGGTCTAACCAGCCTTCTTCTGCCCTTCCGTCTCTGCAACCCGCCGAACAAGCCGATGATCTTCCCCCTCCTCCGCCCCCAATCATTACTGGAGTGCATGACACTAAGCTAGATGAGATATTGGGGGTTGGAGATAAACTACAAAGGCGGCGTGGCAGCCTCGGTGGAGGAGACGCTAGGGAGGAATGAGCCGAGGGCTCTTAGCAGCTGGGGTTTAGCAACTTCTATGTCCACTGTTTGCTTTAACTATTTGTAGTCTTTCTCTGTACAAAATTGTGTATGCTCAGGGATGCAAAGCCCCTTTTTGATTGCAATGGAACTTCATTTTTCTATAAGTGTTCTTTCTTTCCTGCATCATGTTTGATTCTAGGAAATGACCTTGATGTTATGTCAATAATGATCTTCTAAAGTTGCAAGGCTTCACGTCGAATCTATAAGAGAAATTCCTAGTAAACGCGTTGAACTTGCTTCTGGGTGTTTGGACCCCTTGGGACCGAGTGCATACCGATCGGGGTCATACCCCTAACGACCGAGCGCTTGGCTCGTTAAAAATTTGAAGGCATTGCTCCAAAGGTGGAGTCTTACACCCCTCGGAGTCGTACCCCTAACAATCGAGCGTTTGACTCGTGTCAATAATTTGAAGACATTGTTCCAAAGGTGGAGTCTTACACCCCTCGGGGTTGTACCCCTAACGACCAAGGGCTTGACTCGTGTTAATAATTTGAAGGCATTGCTCCAAAGGTGGAGTCTTACACCCCTTGGGGTCGTACCCCTAACGACCGAGCACTTGACTCGTGTTAATAATTTGAAGGCATTGCTCCAAAGGTAGAGTCTTACACTTTTCGAGGTCGTACCCCTAATGACTGAGCGCTTGGCTCGTGTTAAGAATTTGAAGACATTGCTCCAAAGGTGGAGTCTTACACCCCTCAAGGTCGTACCCCTAACGATCGAGCGCTTGGCTCGTGTTAATACAATCATAAAGACTGAAATCTGGTTTAGTAGTAGTATTTCTTTAAATTCGATACATTCCACGGCCGGGTTACATCATTGTCGTTCATACTTTGCAACCTATATGCGCCTGTGCCCCCCATAGAGACCACCTTATAAGGACCTTCCCAGTTGGGACTCAATTTCCCATTCGTAGGTTCGTGAGCATTGTCCACCACTTTTCGCAGTACCAAATCTTCAACTTGAAAATCTCTCGTTCGAACCTTCTTCCAGTGTTGCCTTGACAATTCTCATTGGTACCTTACCAGCCTGATGGATGCCCATGCCCTCATTT